TATTCTTAAAAATTTGTTTCATTGATCTGATGAAATTGAAAATATATCTGTGGAAATGTTTTCGAAACATATGAATAGAAGGGGGAGACAACCTTTAAAACTAAATCCTTTATGTTTTCGGGTGTGTTAGTCTCTATTTGAATGGAAAGTTATGGATTCATTATTCCATTTTATGAGACTTAAATTTGTGTGAATTTTTTCGAAGGTACTAGAGCGAGGCGATATTTGCACTAACCTATAACTGTAATAAACAGATTCAATAAGCACTCGCTTTTTGTTACGAGGTCTGATTATAAAAATTTAGATTTTACTGTTCAAAACATGGATCGAATAAACTGTATTATGTTTGGTGTAAAACATGAAATTAAACGCGCAAAGGCATTTAAAGATGATTTAGGCATAAAACGTGCGCAGCGTACATTTTTCCAAAATTGCTAAATTTTGGACAAAAACATCGTCACGTTCAGGGTCTGTTTAACATAATCAACGACGATCCGAATTGCCTCAAAAAGGTTATAACTGGTGCCGCATCATGGGTGTATGGCCATGCCAATCTTACCAATGGAAACGTCCATGACTGGCGTCTGGGTAAATAAAATTAATGACATCTGCGATAGGTTGAATAATTACTTGCGGACATAGCACACTTTTCCGTACGAGGTAAATGATAATATCCGCCACGGATTACCACATGGACAGTTGAAATGCGTCTACCTTCGAATGTACATATCAATCAAATGGGTCCATAAATCCGACTACTAATTGCTCTAATATTCGACTCCAGTGTGATCCGCTGTCAGCATGCAGCCCTGAGGATTGCAACAGGGTGCCTCCCCATCACTTCTATAGACCATTTACATGGTGAGACGAAAATCATTCCTGTGCGTCAACACAATAAGAATTTGTCTATGCAATATCTGCTTGAGTGTTACGAAAACAGTAATTTAAACCATAGACCACGGATTCAGGCATGTCAAAAAAGATATTCATGATCTGTAGAGAGAGAGAGAGAGAGGGGTGCAGAGGCTCATAAGTGAGCCTCAACACACCGATGTAGTTGAGGAAGTAATTCTGTATTCAGAGTGAATACAGACCTCGGAGCACATTCGCCACCGATAGCAGCGGTACTGCTAAAACAAATCAGAGTGCTTTTGGCACAATTGAGACTTGGGTGGTGTAGCCGCCTCAATTCGTATTGGGCATGAATTGTTGACATGATGGATAATTCATATTCGGCATGGTCCACATGACATCCTTTACGCCTTCTCATCTATTCAGCCACTATACAAAATGCATTTAAACTCTTAAAAATACCAAAAATGGGCCCGAACCTGTATATGGTTGCTACTCAAAACATTGATCTCTTTTGAAAAAATGATTCTCATTACCACTCCAAGACCCCTGTATGTCAAACTACAGCAACTTCGGTTAGAAAAAGTGGCCAAAAACCATTGAAATATCAAACAATTTGGCCGGTCATATAAGAGGTTATGTCAAAACATGGACTTCCATCGAACATCTTCTGCAAAAACGTTTCTCAGTCGTCAAAAAATCCACCACTTTAGTGAGGAAATGCCGCTAAAAACATAAAAATACCCGGACGGGAATGCAAAAAAATTCTGCAACTATTTTTCTCTTTCTTCAGGAGTGTTGAAAGTCAAACTAAAGCTCTGACAGCACCCTCCTCGATCAAAATACTGAAAATGGAGCGGAACATTAATAAGGGGTTTAAGAAAAAACAGGGACCTATATTGACAATCTTGTGCAAAGATATTTATCACCCTAAAAAAATCCGGAATTTAAAATTACAACCCTTTCAGTTTGCAAACGCAGCTACAAGCTTCCAAAATACCGAAAATGGGGAGCATCCATCGACAGTTGTCTGCTGAAATTTCCTTCAAGAACCTGCAATTCGTAATTACAGCCAATTCAGTGGAAACATGCGGCCATAATATATTTAAAATACCGAGACCATACCGTAATATGTGATATATACCAAAACGTGGACCGATATATACGATATATGTATATCATTTCAAATGCCGAACATCCTAGTAGTAGTGGCAGTGTATGCAAAATTTCGAAGTCCTATCTTAAATATTGCGAGCTCAACATTACTGTAGCTTCGATTGCAAAATATGAATATTGTGACACTCGATCGGAAAAATTGCGAAGCTGATTGGCAAGGTATCAGAGAATTTACTAATCACCCTTCAGAGAGCTATCCAAACCCTCAGATTCTTAGATAGCAGAGATAAAAGAAAAGAAACGTGCCCGAAAGATGGACTCTCGAAGTAAGACTAATTTTTCAGTAGCTATAAACGGCGAAACTGTGGCAGATCCAAAGAGGTGCGCAAGTTATTTAATGAACAGTTTATAGACCACCCTGAATGTGGCCTGGCGAAAAGGAGTGTGCTACCAAAATATGTGAAAGATAAAGCCTATTCAAATGTCTTTCGTTAAGCTGAGGCACCCAAGGCGTTTGGTTCGGACTGAATTGAGTATTCCTGATAAGGTTGTCGATAAGTGTGAATCGTACAACAGAGGACTGTAACCTAACAGTTATGACGACAGTAGGGGTTAATTGTACACTTATGTCACTGTCAGCAAATGTACTTGAGGCGGCACTCCACTCATCGATGGGAAGCAATTTTCCAGTAGCCCAACATAAACAGGAATTATGGAATAAGCATAGTATCATAAAAAATTAGACGCCATATATATAAAAAGGACTGTCACCGAACTGTTATGATGACAGCCAACCACATCAAGATCATCGAGGAAAAAGTGAGAAGCACCCTTAGGCCAAGTTTGAAACGTTGGATAATAAACCGAAGCAAAAAGTCGAATTTTAACACCTTTCCTTGGTTAATTGACCAAATCGAGGGAAAAATTCAACCGTGCACAGGTTATCACGAAAAAAAATACCACAAGATATTTAAACTTTTTAGATCACGTCCTTCTTGTGAGCCGTCCGAAGACGAACTGTGATAGTATAATATTTAATATCGCGATCTCTATCATGATTGTAACAGGCAGACGAACGTGGCGAAATCGACATAGAAATTCATTATTTTCCAAGAAAATACCTTATGGTTTCTCTGACTAATATTTCGGGGTGTTGCAAACGGAAAGGTTAATTTAATATACACTCCAAACCTCATGTAAACATATTAGTAAAAATATGTTGTAGCATAGAACGCCATACTTCACATAAAAATCATTTTAATTAGCCATCGTCATCGAAGCAACATTGTATTTACAACTTCCGACCAGAAACAAACCTATTAGGTGTGTGTTTTTGTGTGTGACACGATAATCCACATTATGTAACACTTAAGACATAAATATTTCTTAATATTCGCAAATGCAGTCAGTCATTGGTGGTAGCAAATTAAAATTTGTAATATCAACCGAAAAAACTAAACTGCAATTTAATTCGGCCCAATCTCCGGTAATATATGTTGATAATATTTCCAAGGAGAGAAGCGAGAGAGAGCAAATAGTGTGGTTATCACTCTTAAGCTCCGGCAGCAGATTACATGGTGTATGTCAACAATAACAGCAACACCAACATCGAACTACAACTTTATTTACAATGCGTTTCTACTAACGCAGCTAATGGCGTAAATTTAATTAGTTTCGGTAGTGACAACCGCTATGACTATGGACTTGCTTTTCGCTGTTGTCTTTTTTTTTAATATTTGCTATTGGTGTTGCTTACAAAATATTAAATATTATCAAGTGGAAAAAAGCTAAGAAAAACTCCAAAAGCAGGCAGTCTGACTTCCTTTCGCTGTGGAAAAACAAAACAACAAAAATGGAAAACACTTTTTGTTGTTTATCTGTTTTTTTTTCTCAAGCGGGAATACCACTAAATACTTTGGCATTGGCAGACAGACAGACAGACAGGCTTGAGTAGCCAAACAAGCCGGCAAACCAAATATGCAACCAAAATATGAAGCAACATTGTGAAGCTGCCACAATTATGCGGCTGATAAATAAACAACTTTATTTTAAATGTATATTTTTTAACTTTAATTTACTGACCGGCGAACTGTGGAATTATGTTGCAGAGGAAAATTATGATTGGTCATAATTTGCTTTTTATGCTTGAAGATATTTTTTTTTTATTTTTTGATTTGGACATCAAGCAGATATACGGAAACAATTATGTTTAGCTGAAATTTAGATAGATGAAGTATTAATGTTCCGTTTAATTTAAATAAATTCAAATTTATTCAGATTTCATTTTTCTGCTAATACGTTTAAATGAAGGTTCAACTTGAATTAAGGAAAACGTTAGGTTAGGCCGCATCCAACTTTTTGTAGTCTTCACCATGGACCTCCAACATACCTAAAATACTATCGGGACCATACATGTTGCCATTTTCCTCTGGGTGACGAAGGGAGTAACCGATTTCACCCAAACTTTGCACATCATAATATTTCTACCAAACTTTGTTAATGTTGTGCTAAAAAATAATTTTAAAATCCTTAGGAAAAAATCTTCTTTAAAAATCCACGCCTGTTGATGAGGGTCCTTAGGAAAAAATCTTCTTTAAAAATCCACGCCTGTTGATGAGGGTCCTTAGGAAAAAATCTTCTTTAAAAATCCACGCCTGTTGATGAGGGTCCTTAGGAAAAAATCTTCTTTAAAAATCCACGCCTGTTGATGAGGGTCCTTAGGAAAAAATCTTCTTTAAAAAGCCACGCCTGTTGATGAAGGTCCTTAGGAAAAAATCTTTAAAAATCCACGCCTATTTTAAAAAAGTCCACATAGACGGTTTTATATACTTCCCAGCCTAATATGATGTAAATTCAGTAAGCACGTTGATAATCTGCACATTTTCTAATTTAATTGCATCATTAATTCACCTTATCAATTAAAACAAATAACCCCCATCGAAGTTAGTAACAACCATGTTATTTTTCAAAATATATTTATTATGCATACCAGATGACCATAGACAAAAAATACATCCTCCATCTTCTCCTCATCTGCTTAAATATTCAATTGTACAACTTGAATATTTTTCAAAGCCTCTTTGTAGTTTGCCAACACTCCCTCCACCTCTTCATTGACAAATTCTGTAACCTGATCACTGGCACGGCCAGTAAATGTTGTGGGATCCAAAATGGTATCCAATTGATCTAAAATTGGTGCAAAATAAGGATCTTTACGGACACGTTCCACCAAATCATTATCTTTGCCATGTTGTTTAACTTGAGCGCCAGCTTCATGCGATAGGACACGAATCTTTTCATGACAAACTTGACGATCACCACCGGCCTTAACCATGGCCATAATAATATTTTCCGTGGACATGAAGGGCAGTTCCTGGGAGATGTGACGTTCAATAACCTTGGGATAGACAACCATACCTTGGGAAATATTCAAAAGGGTGAGGAGAGCAGCATCAGCTGAAAGGAAGGCTTCGGATAAAGTTAAACGACGATTGGCCGAATCATCTAAGGTGCGTTCCAACCATTGAGTGGCATGTGTGTTGGCGGCATTGGAGAACAGGGTAATCATATGGCGAGCCAAGGCACAACAACGCTCCGAACGCATGGGGTTGCGTTTGTAAGGCATAGCGGATGAACCAATTTGTGTGGTTTCGAAGGGTTCTTCCAATTCTTTGCGTGATGCCAATATTCTCAAATCCGAACACATTTTGTGAATGGTCGTACCCAAACTAGAGATTGCAGCAATGATATCCACATCTACTTTACGTGAGTAGGTTTGTCCAGTTACACCGTAAGGTTTTTCAAAGCCCGCTAATTTTGTAACTTTCAAATCCAATTCCTTAACCTTTGCACCATCACCATTGAAGAGTTGCAAAAAGGAAGCCTGTGTTCCAGTTGTGCCCTTGACACCACGACAACGTAAATCTTCACGGCAGCGACGAAGGGTACGTTCATCCATCAACAAATCTTGGATCCATAGGCAGGCTCTCTTTCCCACAGTGGTCAATTGGGCTGGTTGCAAGTGGGTAAAACCCAATGTGGGTTGTGACTTATATTTCAAAGCAAACTCTTTGAGACAATAAATCACTGAGGCAACACGTGGTAGTAACAAATCCAAAGCATCACGTAAGATAATGAGATCCGTGTTATCACCAACATAGCAGGAAGTAGCTCCCAAATGAATGATGGGTGCAGCCAATGGACATTGTTTGGCAAAGACATGCACATGGGCCATAACATCGTGGCGGGTTAAACGTTCCTCGGCGGCGGCAGCCTCAAAGTCAACATTATTAATGTTGGCTTTCATTTCCGCAATTTGAGCATCGGTGATCTCCAAACCCAAACTCTAAAATGAAGAATTTTGGATATGAAAATTTTAAATGTTTGAAATATTGGATTCTGAGCACACACACATAAGCGCATACACAAAAAAGCGATATTTAGATGAATAAAAATAATTTTGACATACAATTCGTGATAAAATCGAAATAAGATGAGTAAAATGATGAAATGTGATTTATTATGTACAATGTGCAAGGTATTTGTTTTAAAACAAGCAAAACAAATAATGAAATGGTATTTAAACGTGAAAAGTAGTGAGATATTTTTTTCAACAATTCACCATATAGAATCCTGGTAATTGTCACTAAGCCTTTCTATAAAAAACGTTTAAGATTTCAATTGACTTATCCCTAAACAAGGAACAGAGGAACGACTTCTCAATCATCGTGTGTAAGAGATGTGCATCTTAATTATTTCGAAATTTTATAAAGAACAATTCTGCATCATCAACTCAAAAATCATGATTTTTTATACTGGTTTTGCAGAAAATGAAGGATATAATTTATACCGACTTTTGTATACTTCTACGCAAAGACCTACAGTGGAGCATGTGTGGACCGATGGATCCCATCATGGAACTTGACCTAGGTTTGGTAATAATATTAAAAAAAAATCGGTCATTCCATTGGCTATATAATAAACTGTATTTCCAAATTGTGACACCGATACCGATAAGTCCGAACTTCTAACATTATAGAGGCTTGTTTAAGATATTAGTTTGTGCATTCAAATTGATTCATATCGGATCGGACATTCCGTTCCCATTTTATTTTAATACCAGTGAGCGGAGCAGTACAGTCGGACGGGGCCGACCATACGATACCCTACACAACTACCACGGTACTCTAACATTCTACGGATGTTTTTCCCGAGTCTGGGCAAAAGTTCGTCATATTTGCAACTCCTTGCGCTTTTTGAGGTCAACTGCACCTCTTCCTTACACTGACATATTTTCCGAACATTTCTAATATTGAGTACATCCCATCTAATTACTTGTCCAGATTCCCTTCACCGTGGGATGTGATGTTCGGCTTATAAGTGTGGCCTGTAGATCGACTCAAAAAACAAAAACATTGAAATTTTCGATCCACATCATCCCATGTAAAATTTCGCGATGTTCGGGCCATAATTGCGGCCTCTGGAGCAACCAGAAAACCGACAAAAATAGGTATTTGGTCAATTTCATCCCCTAAATATTAACCGATCTTTACCAAAAACAATTGGGGTCTTCATTGGCCAGAACGCATTCTACATGCAAAAATTCGTGAAGATTGGTTTATAACTGTGGCCTGTATCGTGTTTACAAATTATAATGGGCAGACGGACGATCGGTATACTTAAAATTCAAACTCTTGGGGCTGCACAAAGCTATAATATCCTGACAACATAGTTGGGTAGGGTATAATTAATTTACAGCTATATTTTTATCATTTTGCAGGAGACCACAAACAGGGGACCGATATTCGTCAACTTGATTTAAGTTTGGATAGAGTATTACGAAATGCAAAGTTTTTATGAAACGGGTACTACCTTCGAGAGTCATCAGATGTCCAAACAGACGGTCAGATAAAGGAAGCGACATGTGTAAATCCACTCCAACGTGTCTGAAACGGATTTGTTCCAAACGTAGATGTAATACATTAATTTATATGGGTATGTCATGTCTACCTTTCCAAACTGCAAAATTATTAAAATCGTATACTGTCATCTATGTGAGGATGAAAAAGATGTCTCATACTTTGTTGTTTAATATGAAATACTCCCTCCAGCAACAGGTGTGTTTCACGTAAATATTTGTAGTAATAGTACTTCGTGATTCTTGTCATATATAAGCTTAAATTTTTATTTCACTTTTTGAAGATGTGCTCCCCAAGCCAGACACCTCATATTATAGCTGTGAAATTCTATTAAAAAGCATGCAAAAACATGTAACCAATGCTATTTACAAACACACAAACAAGGAGGCATTAACAAACACGATGGACACAAATTGGACTTACCTTTTCTGCCTCGGCTAGCCATACCCACAATTGACGCCATGTGGAAAACTTTTTCTGGTCACTAAAAAGATATTGCATCTCCTTGCTGGCATAACGAGTGCTCAGCGGTGATTTATAACCTTCATAGACATTGGCGGTGCTCATGATTTCACACAATTTGTTCTAAATGTATTTAATGGAAAATGCCGGGCCTTGGAATATAACACCAAACCGAAATTAAACACACGCGTATCAAATGAATGCAAAATAACGATTAAAATGCAATTTTAATTGACTTTTCCAATAAGTTACAATTTTCACCGGCAGTCCAATTGATCTGCTTCGCAATGTGATAAGAATCCCACAGAAACCGATGGACAAATAAAAAACAAGTTTGTCGTCTAGAGGAGAGCACATGAAAGAAAAAAACAACAACAAACACCAACACACGTTTGAGCAAAAACAAAACAGCTGTTTGTTGCCGTTTGTTGTTTTATGGCACACACTGAACATACTCAAATGGCGTGGTAGTGTAATAACGCCTAACCGTTTTAATTACGAGTAACGTATAACAATAAATGGAGGAATATAATGTGAAATTAATAAAATTTGTTTTATAATTCAATTAAAAAAGGAATAAGTGTATAAAAATGTTTTGGAATAAATGGAAAAATGGATAGCGAGTGTATTCCTGTAAGTAGCATGCACTTTAAATCAATATTCATTTAATAATGATCAGATTTTAAGCTCTATTTCACACAAAGAAAAAAGCGGGATGACGCTGTTGTTTGCTGTTGTTTCTTATGTTGTATACCTATAGTTGAACTATCTGAAGATGTTCCATATACAGTCCATATATAATCATAAAACCCACGACGCAACTCCTCGAACAAGATAAATTCAATACAGTTCGAACAATTTTGTTGTTGATACAGTAGGATCACAGTCGATTGTGCGAAAAAATGACGGTTATCGGATGGGTTTGGGTTTCCACTTTGAAAACATTATCGCACATACCCAAAGGGTCCTGATTATAACGCCATTATTTTCTTGCAGAAATCCATATTTCCTGAGCTATGGGCCTACAAACCAGATTTTTAAATTCAATAAAGTTATTCAATATGGGCATCAGTTTGGAGTGGATGAATTCCTGATTACAAAAAAATCGAAATCGGCTAAACAACGGAATTTCTTTTTTAATAATTCGATTTAAGATTTTTCCCCATGGGCATATGACACAGGCGCTTCGCGACAAAATCTCCTTTGAAATTGAATAGTTACTGTGGATGACCGGACTTTGCCTGAGTATTCGGAATTGTCTTATTGACTAAAATGACTAATCCAAATAAAATCCTAGTATAGAGGGGAAAATGCAAGGGAACCAGCAAAAATTAAAGGATAATATCTGAGAAATAATGGATTTCCACAAGAAAAAATATTTCGTTGTAATCAGGGCTTTCAATATCTACAAATATAATTATGGATTCAAAGACAAATCCTTTGATAGGCTTATATAAAAGGAAATAAGAACAAAGCTAATTTAAATTATAAGTTTCGAAGAATTAAATATATGATCACATTTGGTAATGCCACATTTTTTTATATAGCCCTCATATACTCTTCATGCCAGACTTTAGGCATTTGAATGCAAAATTATTAACAGGGTAAAACTGATTTAGAATTAATAAAAACCATGAGGGAAGTTATTCTAAGTAGCGTTATATGGAGGGTACCCAAAAATTGGACCGATATTTCAATTTTTTGATAATAAGATTTGCTACCTAATATTGGGGGGAGCTATAACAATAGAGGAGCTATAGCAATACTTAGATCCAGCTCTACCGTGATTTCAACGAGCTATATTATGATTTCAACGGACGTACAGACAGATAGACATGTATAAATCGATAGAGTATATTATTATAATGAAGAATGTATTCCTTATAGTGCTCCCGTAAATATTTCGAGGTGTTGCAAACGGAATGACAAATTTAATATACACTCCACATTGTGGTAGATGGGTATAAAAACTAATTCTAAACTCGTTGAAATATTTATTTTATTTTTTAAATAATTTAACAAAAATCAGTTTTACATTTAATTTTTTATTTATTATTTTCCAATAATTATTACCTATCTATAACAAAAATCAAATTCACTATAACATGTGGTTAACAACTAGTTTAATTTTCTGTTTTTTCTCTTTCTTTTATTTTAAAGGTGCTGTCGCAGTTATCCAGTGTTATTTCTTTTAGATATTTCTTTATAGATATAAAGTGAAAGGTATGTATGATAAGTTGTTCATATTTTATTTTTTAAATCGCATGTATGCACATGCTTATTTGTACACTTGCTTGCTACAAAAAAATTTACAGGTATTGAGCATACATTTTAATAAATTCAATAGCAATTATGATATGAAGATAGTTACAATACACAAAGACGTGTAAATTTTAAGCAAATCTGGAATAATAAAGGAAATCTGTGTGTGATGGTTATTGAACATTATTGAACTGTTATTGAACAGATGGTCAAGGAATTTGAAAAATACATTTTTGAAATATTTCAATTAAAAAAAATGTTGAATTTTTCACATTTGTTTTGAATTGATCTGTGTGTTTGGAAATCTTATTTTCTTCAATTCAAACAATGTTCATATTTTGAATACCTACTTTTTACACACAAATGTGGGCCGGACAACTGGTCGAATTCAATACAACCCACATCATTTATGAAGCATTGCATTTGGACACATTGCAAATCATTTTGTCTTGGATTTTTACGCTTGCAAAATAATAGAAAACCTGAAATGTTTCTCCTACTCCTTGCGATGAAGGAAAAATATTGGAACAAATAAGATAATTTTTATGCTATGGTCAATTTCATACTTGATTGTCATTGCATCACCATTGACAATATAAGTGCAACCGTGTGTTTGTTATGTGCAGTTAATGAAAGTTGTAATTATGTGGAAAAGGGGCTTGATCGCGTATGCATATTTATCTATCTGTCGGTATTCAATAGAAAAATAGCCTAGATCTGTAATATTGACAAATGTATTTCCTACCAGTCACGCAAGTGTTAAATGTACCTCAAAGACTTGAAACTAGAAAAAATATTGTAATTTACCATATGAGGCGTGGATTTTTTAAAGAATGGTTTTTCAAGGAACATATGAAGCGTGAATTTTTTAAAGAATATTTTTTCAAAGACCATATGTAGCGTGAATTTGTTAAAGAATAATTTTTCAAGGACCATATAAGGCATGGATTTTTTAAAGAATATTATTTCAAGGACCATAAAAAAGGGATATGTTAATTCTCTCCAAAAATATATTTTTAAAAATCCCCACCTTGGGATCTGTTAATTCTCCCCAAAAATATTCTTGGTTTATTATGTATATGTCCCGACTGGGTGCGTCAGAATTCGTATTACGAACTCAAACTAAATTTCAAAAATTAATATTGAGTAACAAATTCCAATTCAAATATTCTCCCTACATATTTGGCATCGTAATTCGTAATTGATATACCACCTTTTACTGCTCGAATTGCAAAGTGATTGCTCACCGATTTAAATTGCTGATTTGCTTAGAAAGGAACAATAAAACTAAATACTCCAAATTTGTAGAAATGAGACATTCATTAGAAATAACTTTTGTAACTGTCACAGATGGATTGAATGATTGAATGCGAAGCAAAAATAGAAAAAAAAAACCGAAACACTTCGATTTCGATGAACGCAAATAAAGTGTTTAAGTCCGATTGTGGCATGCTTATCTGAAAATACTTTGTGGCAAATGTGGTCATGTCATGTTCCAATGTTTCCCTGTTCGCCAAAAATGGTCTTTGGAAAAATCTGAAAATCGTGTGACAAAAAATTCTTGTCCAAGACACACGGCTTACACAAAAAAGCCAACAACAGCAGCTTATAATTACAACAACAGAAAAACTAACAAAAAAATGTTGGTCAATTTGTGGAAATAGTCATTAGTACAAGAAAAAATCCAACAACAACCCTAACGCAGGCAAGTTAATTACAACAACAGATTGTTCATGTAGCTCAATTATATTTTTACCATAAACGGCTGGAATGTTCGCAAAAAACGGAAGAGTTGAAACAAACCACCAAACCTTAATAGACACCGATACCTGATAATAGTGTAAAAAAATCTGAAAGTATTTTCAAGGACCACACAGGGACTATGTGAACTCTCAGATGTTTAAGGAATATTCTTCCAAGGACCAAAACAAGGCGTGGATTTATTAAAGGATATTTTTTCAAGGACCATATAAGGCGTGGATTTATTAAAGGATATTTTTTCAAGGACCATATAAGGCGTGGATTTATTAAAGGATATTTTTTCAAGGACCATATAAGGCGTGGATTTATTAAAGGATATTTTTTCAAGGACCATATAAGGCGTGGATTTATTAAAGGATATTTTTTCAAGGACCATATAAGGCGTGGATTTATTAAAGGATATTTTTTCAAGGACCATATAAGGCGTGGATTTATTAAAGGATATTTTTTCAAGGACCATATAAGGCGTGGATTTATTAAAGGATATTTTTTCAAGGACCATATAAGGCGTGGATTTATTAAAGGATATTTTTTCAAGGACCATATAAGGCGTGTATTTATTAAAGAATATTTTTTCAAGGCCCATATAAGGCGTGGATTTAATAAAGGATATTTTTTCAAGGATCATATAAGGCGTGGATTTAATAAAGGATATTTTTTCAAGGATCATATAAGGCGTGGATTTAATAAAGGATATTTTTTCAAGGATCATATAAGGCGTGGATTTAAAGGATATGTTTTCAAGGATCATATAAGGCGTGGATTTATTAAAGGATATGTTTTCAAGGATCATATAAGGCGTGGATTTATTAAAGGATATGTTTTCAAGGATCATATAAGGCGTGGATTTATTAAAGGATATGTTTTCAAGGATCATATAAGGCGTGGATTTAAAGGATATTTTTTCAAGGATCATATAAGGCGTGGATTTAATAAAGGATATTTTTTCAAGGATCATATAAGGCGTGGATTTAATAAAGGATATTTTTTCAAGGATCATTTAAGGCGTGGATTTAATAAAGGACCAAAACATTTTTTTCAAGGAACCACCAATAGTATGGGATTTAATAAAGGACCAAAAC